GACCAGTAGGACGGATATATAATAAATATAAAGGAACAAGATAAAAAAGGATTTTAAACCTTTCTCCTATACCGAATCCGTCCTACTGAACTTTTTTTTTCCTAGGACGTGGTAGGACGGAGTAGGACGGATTTTTCATATCCCAATACACTTTGCTATATATCCCGATATTGAAGATATAAAAAAAATAAGTATTCCTAGTATTTCTAATCATGCAATCTGAAATTGATTCATTGAGGCGTCAAATTGCTACCTTATAAATCGAACTTGCATTAAAAGAGCAGATTCAAAAAATACAATCTGAAATTGATACATTAAAAGTGCAAATTATTGAGATAACAGGTAATGATGAAGATTATATACCAGATGATACAAATCAGCAGTTATCTTTAGTTTATCCCAGTTATATTCAATTCATAATTAACTACATTTCATTATGGCCCGAAAATAGAATTGATAAAGTTAATTCAGCAAGTTTATATCAAGCGTATTGCACTTGGTGTAATATTAATAATAAAGAACCATTAAGTAATAATATTCTCGGTAAAAAGTTTACATTAATTGATATTAGACACAAACGAGCAGGTAGTAAGAAAAGAGAATGGCAATATATTCTTAATCGTTCTAAGATTATAAATAAAATACAAGAATTATTTGGTGATAACAATAAGTAATAAACTCGATAGCATACACTCTGGCTATTTGTCTACTCGAATGACGACACGTGACTGAATGTATCGTCAGATATATTTTTTACCCATGTGGCCAACTTTTGTCATCAGACCACATATCTAATAGGAAACAACCTACAGCCAACTCGTCAAACCCGCGATAAGACCAACTCGTCCCATAACCTAACTCGGTTATTACCTTACAATGGAAATCGATCGGGAACAATGGGCCGGTATATGAAAATTTATATGATGACAATGGCTAATTTTTGTCGCCAGGTCACCCATCACCCCCATAACCTAACTTGGCTATTTCCTTACAATGGAAATCGATCAAAAGCATTAAGCACGCATACAAATACAACTATCAAATCTGGGTTTCTAAAGAATTAGAATATGTTGTAGAGGGTCGCGCCTATATCGTCATAACCTATATCGGGGAGCACCTTAGCTTTTAAATCAACCGCGATCGTCAAATTGATATATATATTATCATATGTGATCTAATGATAGAAATTGGTCAGACTATCAACCCGATATATATCAGTTCAAGTGACTTGAATTTTGCGATCTACCCATCACTCAAATGACTTGAGTTTCGCGATTTATACATCACTCGAATGACTTGAGATTTATAATTCACACGTCCTTTTGGAGTGGATATAACTTAGACTAAGTGGAAATAACATAATTATGTTATTTCCACTCTATCATTTTAAATATCTTCATTATTGGGGTTTAAAAAACTTTCGCATAATGTTACAACGAAAGCTACTTGTTCATTAGAAACTTTCG